CCAATCAGTCCCTGACACAAAATATTGTATTTGACAATTTGCTATAGCCCACAATTGTTGGAAAACAATAATGGAAGGGAGGGAGAGCAACGATTTTTTCCCCATCTCCAATCTCGTTAGCTAACAGGATATCAGTTTGCACTTCAGGGTTGGGTTTCCTGGGCTTCTGCGAAAGCACTTTGGAAAGCAAGTCACCTATTACCTTAGTCAAGGCAGTACAAAGGCATGTGGTCTCTTCTTATCAATCAGAACTGTAAATAGAGACTCATTTGCTATAGAAGGAGGGCAATCAGGTCTTGAAAGAACACAGAAAATATGGGGGGGGGCTTTCCTAGAAAGTAAGGCAAGTGGCCAAGGCCCATGAGGACAGGAGGTAACATAAGCCAACTATATCACACTAAGTTATCACATTGACTATGTGATTGTGAGCTGAACCGGAAATCCATATGTACAAGACTTATGTGAAGCCACATAGGCATCGCTCTAAAATGTGTGATTTGAGATGAAGCAATAAATCCACTATACCTTCCAATCTGCTCCCCTGCCATTCTACTTATGCGAAAAGACAACCATTTGAACTTATTCTTTGCTAAAGGCTCTGGAGAGCTTGTGTTAGGATTTAAGGAGACAGGAAGCATCATATTGAGCCAATAGCTCATATTGCTTTATTTATAGAGTAAGAATCTAGAGGAAGAAAATTCATGAAGATTAAGGTTTTGTGGAGGTAAAAAGAAATGAAGGCTGAGTGCGGATGGCTCATGCCTCTAACCCTAGTTACTCAGAAGGTTGAGATATGAGGATCACAATTTGATGCCAGTCCAGGTAGAAAAGCCCATGAGACTTTAACTTCAATTAACTAACAAAACACAGGAAGTGTAACTGTGGCTCAAGTAGTAGAGTGCTAGCCTTGAACAAAAAAAGCTGAATGACAGCATCCATGCCCTGAGTTCAAGCCCCAATTACAGAGAAGGAGAAGGAAGAGGAGGAGGAGGAGGAGGGTGGTGGTTAATGATAAAAATGCCTAACCCAGGTTGATAATTATTCAAGAAAGATGTATATAGTCAGAAAGAATTCATTGAGGAGTCTTGGTAATGAAGGGTAGGCTGAGACTATAGAGTTTGAAGTTAGAAAAGGAGAGTAGGAATCAAATGGGAGATGTAAGGAGCTACCTTTTCTACCCCATCTTTGCCTTTGGTTCATTCAGTGGTCCCATTTCTATGAATCAAATGTCAGAGGGATAGGTCACTGGCTTCTGGTCTCCCTCTGCATGTTTTTCTCTCAAACATGCTTAGCCAGGAGTGGCATAAAGGGATTCTCTGCCTTCTGTCACATCTATCTTATATTGGCCCCTTTAACACCTTCAAGAAACTCTTTCAAATCCTCTCTCATTCTTCTGCCATCCTGGATTTCCAGGACCCAAGCATTGAAAGAGGTCAAATATCTCACAAGTTTGAAATTCCTCTTAATAAGAAATACTCTGAATGGGTCTCTCTCTTTAATAGAATATTCACTTTTCCTGTCATACAGCCATCCCCAAAATACATGTCCACATTCCTAGATATTATTCACACAGAATTCAAGCAGAATAACGAATTCCTATTGTTTTCACAGTTCTACAAATGTTGATTATCTCATTTTGGCTAATTTTAAAAATTTATTCACAGTTGTAAAGTTCAAGGTTAGTGGTAAACTCAAGTCTTCAGGACTATCTGTTATTGCTGTCCCTAATGGGCTTCAGACTCCTCCATTCTGTTCATATATTTAAGTCAGGTATTTTCTCCTAAGATCCTATCCCTGACTTCCTGCACTATTCACACTTCTGTATTTAGAAGACACTTTTCTAAGCCATCAAACATTTTGATATTATTAGTATCATGCAATTGATATTCATATTCATTATGTCTTAAATGTTATGCTTAAGATATCTATTAATAAAATCTGGATTTTCCTATTTTTGGCTTCTGAAAAAATAATTTATACACACACAAATAGTAATATTAAAGTTGTCAACCATAAAAGTCAGTACTTGACAACGGTGTGTAAGTTGAGTTGCATACATATGAATGCAAATTTGGTGCTGTCTAAATGTACATACATTAGCTGCACACGAGAAATTTAGTTTCAGAAGCATCAAGAGTCAAATGATAGAGCACTGATGTTTTGAAAATGAACTTTTCAGCAAAGTGGGAAAATTGGCAAAGCTGATTAGTGCATAAAATGCACAAGCCTTTTCTCTCCACTAAATTGTCCGTAGGTATTTCCACTAACACTGTGTCTCTGTTGAAATTTTCTTTTAAATAAAAGATTTCATTTTAGCTTTAAGGTAGAAATTTTCCAGAAAGAAGATTTTGCTTATGAATTTCAGAGCTCATTCACAAATAATATAAAGCATAACTTTCAATTTAAAAGTTTATAACTATATTAATAAATGTTTAATCATATTGTCACTGTATTTCTGTACTCTAAAATGTTTTCACAGTAAAACAAAAGATCAACAGAGAAAGTAATTTGCTATTTCTGGATATGAGTCTATTCAAAGTGATAGATTTTGGAACAATGTATGAATCTAAGTCAAATTATAAATAAATCAGTTTCCCAATACTTTGCCAGCCAATAGATACAAATGTAGAGGGAAGAAACATTACTTTATTTACAAGGCTCTTCTTCACAGGCTTTTGCTAGCTACTGACGACCTTTCAAAGTCCAGTCTAGTTATTTCTTTAAAACCAGAGGTTATATTCAGAAAACTATGTCTTCTTTGTATGGCTTCTTCACTACCACAACTACATTGTACCCCCAAAAGGAAGGAGAAATGTCCTACTTCATAAAGCTACATTCTACTTCCTGCTTGATGAACAGAAGTATCTCTCCAGCTTCCACTTCTGCTACAACCTTCTTCCCAGGACATGCAGAGTCCCCCACTTTGATTCCCTTTTGAGTGAAATATTATGACAATTAACACATGTAAATGAAATCTAGAAGTATCATAACAGTGTGTCAGTCAGAACCATGTACTAGAGTTTAAGTCTCTCTCTTTTGTCATCGGTTGTGGGGCCTGAACTCTGGTCCTGGGCACTGTCCCTCAGGCTCTTCAGCTCCAGGCTAGTGCTCTACCACTTGAGCCACAGGGCCACTTCGGGCTTTTTCTGCTTATATGGTGCTGATGAATTGAACCCGAGGTCCCATGCATATAAGGCAAGCATTCTACCTCTGAGCCACCTTCCCAGCCCTGTCTCTCTTAACTGAGAGACTTGGGGCCGGAGTTTTATTAGATTCTAGAATTTTTATTTGACTTTAAAAAAAATCAAGAATCTGGAACATTGACATAGACATAGCAAAGCACATCTAGACTGACCCAAATCTCTGTTTATTTATTTATTATTTATTTATTCATTCATTCACTATATCTACAAATGGATGTACATAGGTGTCACAATTTAACATGTTCATTTATGTGTATAGTACATCTTATTCACAACCATACTTTCCATCATTCTCCCTGATCTCCTCTACCCCTTCTCCCTGAGTTATATCAAGTTTCCCACTTCCTTTTTCACATATACTATTATGACTACATTTGTCCATCATTCCCTTTTCCATTCATTCCTGTCCCACTAGCCTTTCCCCCATTCGAAACATGTTTCAGCTTTCTGATGTTAATTTTGTTAAACTGTTAATTGTTCAAATGGTTACTCTATGGAGTTTTATTCCTGTATATACTATATTTTAGTCAGCACGATCATGTATATACACATGGGCCCTGTTTGGGTTTACAGGTGAGACCCAAATCTTAAAAAAATCATATGTCTTATATATTTTATGTGTCCACAGTTTTTAGTATGCCTACATTTTGACTACACCTCATCAAACAAGGTAATGTGCAGAATCTTCAACTTGTAGCATCAGGTAGATGCTCAAAATTTCAGATTTTTGAAGTTTTTGAATTCCCATTGAATAAGGAATTCTCAACCTTTCTTAATGTTGGTTTGCCAAATCTCATTACACAGAAATAAAGAATATTTAAGGGAAATAAGAATTTTCAATACTGATAAAAGTGGAATATAATCTGGCAGTATCCATGAAAATTGCAAATGCGCTTACACTCTGACATAATAATATTGCTTTCAGAAATATAAAGAATATTGTGTTGGGTTATCTACTGCAGCATTGTTTAATAAGGCAAAAAAAGAACACTGGAAGCAAATTGCATATCCGTCAGTAAAGTAATGGCTGAATAAATTACATTATATCTAGTAGACAATATATTGCTACTAAAATAAATGAACTAGATTTATATTGACCTGGGAGTATCTATGACATGTTATCAAGTAAATTGACAAGTGGCAAAGGAAGACGAATAGCATAATAGCCTATTTTTGTCAGAGCAAAAGTATAGTATATGTGCATTTATGTGTACTTATAAGGAAATCAAAAAGGCTATGGAAACTAATAGTGGATAATAGCACTGATTTCCTCAAAGAATGAGGTAGGCAGGGAGATACTTATATTAAAATAAAATCTTTGGATTATTTCCCTAGTTACAATGATCACTTCTTAATTTGTAATTCACATATTTTAATGAAGAAAAAAAATAAGAAGCAGGAGGAAAACTCATTAGACTGCTAGCTTCAAGGGTAAGGATAGATAGTACAAAATTATGGTAATCAATTCCTTTCAGCAATACACATACAGTGCCTGTAATATGTTTACCAGGGTGCTCAGTATCATGAGAAACAGAAAAGAAAAATAAGCCTAGCTCTCAAAACCCCTGTAGACATTCAGAATGCACACATAATTATTTCAAAGGTCCTACTTTGCTCAAGAATGGTATATAAAGCTCTGCAGTTTTCCTCAGCTTTGGGTGGTGGCTGCAGTGGGGATTTGGCTTCCAGTCCACTGATTGAGGGCTAGTCAGAGTGAACAACAGCCCGGCACCTCGTGCTCTGCCGCCCACAGCCAAACGCCTGCCTGCCTGCTGCTTCCTTCTTTTCCTTCCGGACCAACACCGCTGGGGCCCAGCGAGTGGCCCAGATGCAGGCCATCAAGTGTGGGAGGTGGGAGACGAAGCTGTAGGTAAAACTTGTCTGCTGATCAGTTACATCACCAATGCATTTCCTGGAGAATACATCCCTACCATCTTTGACAACTATTCTGCCAGTGTTATGGTAGATGGAAAACCAGTGAATCTAGGCTTATGTGATGCAGCTGGACAAGAAAATTATGACAGATTACGGCCCCTCTGTTATCCACAAACAGATATATTGATTTGCTTTACCCTCGTGTTTCCTGAATTATTTGAAAATGTCCATGTCAAGTGGTATCCAGAAGTGCGATACCACTGTCCCAACACCGCCATCATCCTGGTGGGAACGAAACTCGACGATAGGGATGATAAAGACATAATTGAGAAGCTGAAGGAGATGAAGCTGACACCCATCACTCATCACTTACCCACAGGGGTTAGCCATGGCTAAGGAGATTGTTGCTGTAAAATACTTGGGGTGCTAGGCTCTCAAGCAGCCAGGCCTCAAGACAGTGTTAGATGAAGCGCTCTCCGTGCGTTCTCTGCATGCCACCCCCCCACCCCCGCCTCCCACTCCATCAAGAAGCAGAAGAGAAACTGCCTGCTCTGCTCTTGTAAATGGCCATGCTCCTCCTCCATCCCTGCCCGCTTTGTATGCTTTGCTCAAAAACAGTGGAGACTTCACACTCAATGCCAAGTTTTTGTTCCAGATTAATTCTCCATAAAACCGTTTTGAACCAATCAGTAATTTTTAAGTTTTCTTTTAAATATGAGTTCAAATTCACATCTTATTAAAATTTAGCGCCCAAGGCTTGGAAGGTAGCTCAGTGGTACAGTGCTTGCCTTGCATGCCTGAGGCCCTGGATTCGATTCCTCAGCAACACATAAGCAGAAAAAGGGTGGAAGTGGAGCTGTAGCTCAAGTGGTAGGGCACTAGCCTTGAGCTGAAGAGCTGAGGGACAGCACCCAGGCCCAGAGTTCAGGCCCCACAACCGGATCCCCCCCCCAAAAAAAATACAATTTAGCGCCCAAATGACAAACTTTCTAAAAGCCTTATTTTTCAAAAGCTCAGATTTTGATTTGCCAAAATACCTTCTGAACTAAGTTATGTTGTGCTGAGAACACTAAGGACTAAACTGTCAAAAGGCCTGGCCACACCCTCAAGGAGACAGCAAGCTCCTGGTGGCAGAGGCACATGGCTCTCCCAGGAGGCCCAGGCCCAGCAATCAGCCAGCCTCTGCTACCCCTCCATGCCATGTTGCCATTAACACATCCTAACCTTATATTATACCTAATCATGGAGGAGCGAGGGTGACACTCATCTCTTTAGAGCAGTCTTTTTGATTTTGTAGTGAGTTAAAAAAAATCAGTTGCCTCACTTCCGTGGTGAACCGGAACAAGACTCATGTGGTGTTTACTCTAGCGATGTGTTCTAGTCGTGAGTGCAGGCAGAGTGGTGACACACAACGTAATGGCAGGATGCAGACAGTATTTGACAAAGTATGAAGTAGAGATTAATTTATAGTACATTGTATACCAGTAGTTCAGCTGAAAATGTGTCACAGGAAAAGGTCTTTTAACAGTTCATTTCGGTCAAATGCAGTAGATGACAAAGGTCAGCTTTGCCAGTTTCTTGTCTTAAGCATTTCCTTTATCCTACCTGCAGGCCCTCCCCCGATGAGGCATTGTACTCACCTTTTAGTTTTAATTAAGTTTTTTATTGTGAAACTACTGTACAAAGGGGTTACAGTTCCATAAGCAAGGTAATGAGTACATGTTTTATCCAGCATTGTTGCCTCTTCCTTTGTTTTTCCCCTATCATCACTTCCCTTCCATCTCCTCAGCTATACTCCTCCCCTCCACAATTGTAAAATTCGTTTTTCAACATAGAGTCTTTTACATCTCATTGTTGCTTTGGGTCCACCTGTATCCCTGTTTTTGAACTCATCATTCCTTCCTTGCTAACTTAGGAAGTACTTTTCTTATAGATCTCCTTCTTAATGAGCAATTTGCCTCCTACTTGTACTATAAAATCTTTCAAATAATGCATTAGAAGTTTCTTTTTTCCTTCTTAGATTAGCAAAAGTGCATTCCTGCTTTCACTTACTTTATTCAAAGCTAGTAAGTGCTTTCCTTACTTTTCTAGTAACTTAGGTGTAAAAATTATGTGTTGCAGTTTTTCAGTTTTTAATATAATTTAGATATTCTTAACCTACGAACCTTAACATCACTCTGTCTTGCCAGATTGCCAGCACTGTCATGTGACTAATCGTGACCCTCCCTCCCCATGTGGACACTTCCTGTGGAGCTCTGCCCACTCTGTTCCCTGTGTCTGAGTTGTGGAACCCTCTTGCTGACCGGTTCTGTACACTTTAACAAGTTGGCAAGATCACAATGTTGGACCTTTCAACAGGTAGAACATTTTTTTAAAAATTGACACTTGCATAATTGTGGAGTGTTTTTTTGTTGTTGTTGTTTTTGTCAGTCCTGGGCCTTGAACCTCAGGGCCTGGGCACTGTCCCTGAGCTTCTTTTGCTCAAGGCTAGCACTTTACCACTTGAGCCACCATACCACTTCTGACTTTTTCCATGTTTGTGGTACTGAGGAATCAAACCCAGGGCTTCACTCTACCACTAAGCCTCATTCACAGCTTCTTGTGGAGTGTTTTTACTTCTGATGCAGTTAGCAGCATATTTTGCATGTGTGACTTAAATCTTCAAATCAGAAATATGGTGTATATGATGTGTGTCAGTTAACTGGAAGGACGCAATCTGGAACTGAATTCTTTGGGACAAATTTTGTGGGTGCAGCTTAGGTTACCATTGCTCCCCACATTCCCTTAACACTTCAATATAGACTAACTCACTGAGCACCAGTGGCTCACACCTATAATCTTAGCTACTCAGGAGGCTGAAATCTCAGGATGGAGGTTTAACACCAACATGAGCAGGAAAGTCTGTGAGAATCATAACTCCAATTAACCACCTAAAATGGGTGTGGCTCAATGTGGTAGAGTATCATCCTTGAGCAAGAAAGCACAGGGTCAATAGCCAGACCCTAAGTTCAAACCCTACAACTTCCCCACACATACACACACACATATGAATATAGGCTAAATTAACTTCCAGCTGCCAAGATCTGCATTCTGGATCTAAAAGAGAATTGCTCTGCCTCTATACATGGAAGGTAACAAGCACAAAGGAGTTAAGGCCATTCAGAACCAAGGATGGTAAATTTTTGGTTATTAATGACTTCTCTCGCCTCCTCCTAATAATGCATTCACAAAATTTGGCTCTGCTGGCTGAAAAACACTGATTCCTAAGGGAGTGAGGAAGTGAGAAAAGATGACCAAGGTCAATTCAGTATAAACTATCAGGTTATCTTTGAGAAAAACCTAAAGTAATCTTATTGGGGAGCTTCGGGAGGCAAAATGGGGCATACACCTCAACATTACTCTACTCAAGGGAAAAGAAAGTTGGATAATTAATACCAACTTGTATTAAGTAATGTGGCAACATACAGTAATATTAGCATGTTTATCAAGTCCTTGTTGTCTACTAGGCTGAACACTTCATATGTATTAGGTCACTTAATCTTCAAAACACTCTGTGAGGTCGATATTATTATTATACTCATTTTGCAGAAGAGCTTCATGAGGTAAAGAATTATAGAACTCCGATAGGCAGCAAGACACAGAAGCCCACAGAGCTTAACACAGGGCTATATTGGTGGAAATGGTGGCACACTCTTGTAATCTTAGTTGACATAAATAGGAGGTTCATGATCCATTCCTGCAATTGCCAGCCTGGACAATCAAGTATGAAAGCTTATCTGAAAAATAAGTAAGGCACAAAAGAGACTGGGGCATAACAAAGCACTTGTCTAGCATGTACAAAGCCCGGTTCAAAGCCTAGTACTAACAAAAAGAATAATATTAATCTGTCACTATAATGTAGAAGAGACTACTGTTAGGAAAATGGAGGAGAATGGAAAAGGAATAGGCTGGACTTAATCATCAACAGGTGAGGACTGTTTACTGAGGAACAGCGAGGGGCACAGACCTTCCCACGGGTTTGGAGGTTGTGTGAGAGAGTTGGAGCAGGAGCTGGGTTTTCATATGAGGTCTGAGCAAGGAGGCAGGGGTTAATGAAAAAAATAACTAGGGGCTGGGAAGGTGGCTCAGTGGTAAAGTGCTTGCCTTGCATACATGAGGCCCTCGGTTCGATTCCTCAGCATCACATAAGCAGAAAAAGCTGGAAGTGGGGCTGAGGCTCAAGTGGTAGAGCACTGGTCTACAGCTGAAGAGCTAGGGGACAGTGCCCAGGCCCAGAGTTCAGGCCCCAGGACTGACAAAAAAAAAAGTAACTAGGTCAAGGGAGTTGAGGCCTTGTTTACAGCTGGGCTTAGGTGGATTGCCCTGCCTGCACTTCAAACAAGTTCACACATACCTGGGATTTTGCTTGGCCTCTGTATGAGCCTGGGACAATAAGGTGGGAGTCAATCCTTCATATTCCATCTTTAGATACATAAAATGATAGGGCCAAGAGGGGAGAGGCAAGTCCTTCAACTTATCCCTTGGTATCCAGGGCCCATGGAAACACCAAAATCAGTAGATAAGATGAAGTAGTATTTGCATAAAACTTACATCCTCTTGTATGCCTGAAATCCTCTCTACATGACTAATAATACTTAATATAATGCAAATGCTATGTAAATAGTTGTTATACTATAATGCCTAAGGGATAATAACAAGAAAAAGTCCACATACATTCAGTACAGGTATGTTGTTTTCCAAATGTTCTTAATCCTCAGTTGATTGACTTTATACATGCAGAATCCAAATACAGAAGACTGCTTGTTGTTTACTTCTTTGTTTAGACATTGTTAAGAAGTAAGGTGAATTGGACTGAGCTTTAGGAGAAAAACAATTTGATGTCTGCATTTCTGTTCTGTCTCATAATCCATGACAGACACAATGTTTAGCTTTATATCCCACAATTAACTCCCTGGTGAAATGCAGAATTAAAAGTTCTGATAAGGCAGACAGACAGGCATAGTGGCACATGCTTATAATCTGAACACTTAGGAGGCAAAAGCAGAAAATTATGACTTTGAGACCAGTCTAAACTATATAGTTAGATTAGGTCTCAAAAAGCAAAATAAAACTAAACAACAACAAAATGAAACAAGAGAAATTGCAATGCAGTCAGTAACACAAACTTGATATTCCACTTACATTCCTTCCTCCCTTGTAGTGATTAATAGTTTCTGGGTTTCTGGCCTTGAGCAAAAGAGCTCAGGGACAGTGCCCAGACCCTGAGTTCAAGCCCCACAACTGGCAACTAAAAAGAATAGGTTTCTGGAAGCTTTTCAGAATATCTCATTATTGTGGGATTTGTTAGATGCAACTTTTTTTTCCAATTTAAAGATTATTTTTTAATTGTGAAAATACCATACAGACGGCTTACAATTACATGAGCAAGGTAATGAGTACATTTATTATCAAGCATTGTTGCCTCCTCCTTTGTTTCCCCTTGCCATCCCTTCCCATCTCTCCCCTCCTTCCCCCCATGCCAAAGTTGTAAAGTTTGTTTTTTGACATAACGTCTTGTACATCTCATTGTTGCAATGGGTCCACCTGTATCCCTATTTAAACGATTTGTTTTTTCCCTTCCCCTCCACAAATTATACCAACATCAAATACAGTGAAAACAGGGGCTATACC